ATCAAATCGATAGCCAGTGTGACAATTTACCCCTTAGTTCCCGCGACAAAAGTGGGGGGTATATTTTGTTGTTATGTTGGAGGTCCAACATAAATTAGTATGGGAGTTTGTATGCTTCAGAATCCGTCCGGTTTTGTCCTGCGGATAGTACAGGATACCTCCAGTAAAAAAAAAGACGAATCCAACTTACCAGCATCTTATGTTGGCTCTAGTGATTGTCAAAATAGTTTAAGATGACTGGGCAACATAAGAAATGCCCTGTTTATTTGGAGGCCATGTTTCTGCATCATGGCACGCGTCTAACACCACTACCTTGAAAAGCGAGAGCCAATAGAAAATGTAGAGAAGAAGACGTTTCAATTGATTACATGCCCCAGCAACAAAAACAAACTAAAAATACTCAGAAAAAGGCTTCCTAGGCGTCACTCGCCTCCGCCTCGTTGTCCAAGTCGTTTTCAGCTTCTTCGCGGTCGCTGTGAACGGTGCTCTCGACATCCGCGCTGCGCCGACGTCGCTTCTTGCCAGGGTGACGTGAAGGCGGTCGGTCGCGGACTTTGTGGTCCATCAGCAGGCGCTGGGGAATGTCGTTCCCGTTGTTCCAGTCCGTATGCCATACGTGGAAACACGTCTTAGCTCGTCCTTCACGAGCTACGTTACACATATACTTGCGGCGATTTCCTGCAGAGCACCCGGGACAGAAGTATTTCGTGTACTCCCGCGGCTTGACCTTGAATAGCGCGCATACTTTGCAGGATCGGTGGCGTCGCTTCAGTCCGTGTTCTCCGTCTACGGTGTCCGGATTCTCCTCCAGTGTATGCCCATTAGCGATAACATCGTCTGGATCTGTTTGTCTCGAATCGGATCTGGCTGGAGACGCAGCAGTCCAGGCTTGGGCTCGAGTTGATTGCGCGATAGTATCGAAGGCCTCAATAGAATCCACGGCCAGAAGCTGGTTCATCAAGGTCTCGAAGAACTGAAAGTGTTTCGCCGCGCTCAGGTTGTTCATCTGTCGGTAGTGGCGAAACACGATGAAGGCGTTTACGAGCGCCATGTCGAACAACCCGAAGAACAGGGTTTTATAGTATTTTCTCGTCTTGTAACTGAGCTGGACGCTGTAGCGCTGCATCCGGAGCTGGTCGTGCACATCGACGCCACCCATCCAGCGGTGGTAGTCCCGTACCAACTCCGGAGCAGGTACTGGGGTCATCTCTCCGTGCACACGACGCATTACAGTCCCAGTGACTCGGCTGCCTCCGCTGGAGAGCATGTGGACCGGGTTACGATCCATCCACATGAGTGCCGTGATTGCTGGGAACATCTTGCTCTCTGCCATCTTCACCGTGCCCTGAGGAGGAACTACCTCTTTTCGACCATTCACTTGCTTATACTTCTTCGACGTTACCACTCCATCCGCATATCCAGTGCGATCTGTTTGTATGGTGCCAGTCAGGTACATTCGTCGATGGAGGAGCTCTAGCGCCAGGCCCACCGAGGTGTAGAATCTATCCGTGACCACTAAGCGCCAGGGGCTTGTAGAACTAGGCGGGCACAAAGCATTCATGTTCCGGATCACAGCGGCTTCTCCACAGTTGTTGTCCTCAGGTACTGGTGTCCGGAGATGCGTCTTGGCTCCACAATACACTTCGAGTCTGGATACAAACGCCAAACACATCTAAAGTTAGCCTTATGTTGGATGACATTGTAGAGAGCAGTGCTTATGTTGATCCAAGCCAACATACGCACTTGGACCAAAAAAAAAGAAGCGCAACTAGCAATGACTAGTTGCGATTCATACCAGACTCACCTCAGGCAGTACGCTGTCTTGGCACACGCCGCGACGAATACCTTAGTTCCCCATTTATGAGGCTTATCTTTGTTGAACTGGCGGGTTGGATTGTATCGCGATCGGGACGGGAGGGTGGCTTCATCGAAGCTGATGACAGGAGGGGTGCGGTAACGCCGAGCAAAAGTCCGCTGTAGCACGTCGACTACCGGTCGTATCTTCCATGCGCGGTCGAGCTTCGCCTGAGGCGACTTGTTGTTGCTGAAGTGCAGGTAGCCCATTATATGAAAGAATCTGTTCTTCGACATGAACTGACCGAACCTGTTGGACGGAAGTGCACCCACCTTCTTTAGCCCCCAGTGTGCGGCGATTCCTTTCCTGATCGAAGTCAACATCCGCGCGACCAGCAACGCCATGACGCGAAGAATTTCCCACGGTTCAATCTTAGGGACGCTTGACAACCGTCGCCGGATGGCACTCAACTCTTCAACCTCCCACTGGTGCGCTGCTGGTCTCGGATCCCTCGGGCCCGATGCACAAGTGTCTGTGACTGATAGTTGTTCGATTCCAACGTGACGTTCAACCACAGTCTCGGTGGCAAAAAGTAGAACATCAGTGCAAGCGGATCTTCCGCAACAGCCATCACACTCTCGCTTGGTCCAAACGGTCCGTCGTAGAGGTCAGCATACGTAGGGTCGGGGCCAAATTTGTCAGGATCTGCAAGAGCAAGAGTGATGAATGATAGTTAGTATATGTTGGAGCTTATGTTGGATCAAGTTGAAACTCGATCTCATTATGTTGGACTGTATCAACGTGAACGCACCGTATTCCCACCCAGTCTTTCGCATGTTCTTGAGAACCTTCTTGTTCCGAGCAGCAGACAAACAAAGCGAGTCTGAAAGCATCGTCGCGTTGGGGTCACCGACCTCGTCCTCATCCGTGAGCTCGCCGAGGCTCCAGTCTTCACTCCACCCGCTATCATCGTCTTCTTCTTCTGGCTCCTCATCGAAACCCGTCTCCTCGTCAGAGTTCAACCTAGTGCATTGCTCAGCACCAATCTCCATTAGGTTCGGGTCTCCACTCACCATACACGTCGGACTTCCAAATGGACGTTCCACTTCTCCCTCCCCATCACCCGTGGACAGACCCGGAGGGGCCCCTGTGGTGCCCACTGCGTCCTCGTCATCACCACTGACCAGGTTGCGTCTTGTAAAACATGACGTCGACGTTTCTTCGATTGACTTGACTTCCGAGGCTTGGGGGGTCGACGGCTCGTGCCAAGAGATGGCGGCCTCGGCGTAATCTGCTCTTTTGTTGACCTCCGTGAAGAAATACGCGCAGGGGTGTCCGCATCGTTGTCCACGCGAGTCGCGACATCGCTCTCCAAATTGGACATCAAGTCGGCCATTATCTCGACCACGGCTGGTTCTAGTGACACCTGAGCCTCGGTAGGTGCTGCGGATGACGACGGTATCGCCATTGCCTCAGCAGCGACGTCCGTCGCGTCAACCTCAACGTCTCTGCGTCCTTGGCTTCGGCGTCCTGGCTAGGCTTTTCAGTGTTTGATGGCTTGTACACTCCCGTCGCCTTTCGGACTTCCATGGCTGGTGTCGTTAGTTTAGCGCGGTCTTTAGCAGCTCGTTTCTTCTGCGGCTTTGCGGTAGCGGGTTGCTTAGCCTCCGCAGCGGAAAAAACACAATCAGCATTCGCAAAAGCACTTTCAGCGGGTTCCGCGTTCTCCTGAGCGCCAGCTGTGTCTCCACCACTACCGCCAGCACGATCACGGTCATCACGAGCACCTACAATCACAACAGAGTCAGCACTACCGCTTTCATTAAAGTATAGGCACGCATGAGCAGTACCGTCACGATGACGTGGTGCCACCACGTCGCGCTCTGCAAGCGCCACAAATCGGCCCAGCGCTGCGCTGTCCCGAAGAAGATGGCGGCGATGTCGATCGCTGAGCTTGGTCAGCAGCTGCGCGTGTCGCTCCTTTGTCTCTCCTGCAGTGGGTCCTGGATCCGTGGTCCGTGGTGTCCGCCCGGGTGGCCCTTTACCTGCCGTAGCGACCATCGCTTTTGGTCTTACGTGCAAGCTGCGAAATTGAAGAATGAGGAGAGATTTGGGCTGGCGGCCACCAGTTCAAACGGGAATGGCGTGCTTTGACTTTGTCACACTATCCTGATCCAAAACCCCGAGCCCTGTGCAATGGCTCGTCTTGAACCAATAATACTACCTTGACTTCAGTATGCCGATCTCAATAGATCTGTTCCAATACAAAAATCAAGTATGACTTTTGCTTATGTTGGACCTCCAACATAACATAGATGCCCAAAAAAAAGATACACCCGTTATGTTGAGCGGTCCAACATGCGGGAACTAAGGGGTTAAAGCAGGAATCGGCGTAAGAAAGCACACTGCAATGACTCTTCCAAAAGAGACACGTTGGTAATAATCGCGAAAGGCTAGAAGACGTTCGACTGAGTACTCACTGCGATGACCGATTTGGCTATGGGCCCACGTGCTAATTGCTTTACGTCTCACTCTCGACACGATGGAGGATGTGTTCGCTAATTGCTGCTGATGTGGTGCCGAGGGTTGGACGTGGATTTGGTTCACCATTTTATTTTTAATGAAGACGAATGGTGTCCAACCAGTGGTATTACCACGGTCTTGCGATAGTGGACTTCAGTCTATGCTTAGAAATCGAGTGTGAGTCTTTAAAACTCCATCCTACTTTTGGTCGGATAAGTTTTCAACAATCATATCGATTCACCTTACATTTTAAGTGCCTATAGCGCTGCATCCCAGCCATGCCTCGACGTCGGGATCACAAGGATCTCCAACGTTACGCTGGATCTGCAACTTCCGCATAGCTATATACCCGGAACTTGTTTCGCAGTTGATAACCATCATCCGCGTGTTAAAACAAATTCCTTGGACCCCATTGAGAGCGCACTGCTTGTAAAGGATCCCACCACAAATCTCATCTGTCGTATGTTTACTCGGTGCGGTGGCCTCCCGATCAACAGCAACGGTGTTGGCGCAAATCAATGTTCCAAACGTAGCGAGAACCGCCTTGTCCTCCTCCGGAATACGCGCATCGGTGCAAGTTGGGGAATATTTCTCACTTGCCACGGGCAAACACTGAGCCATCGTCATGTTGCAAGTCCCTGATATGAATCCGTTGCAGCACACGGCACTCTTTGGACGCAGCACCATTTTCGTCAGACTCTCCAGAGGTGCCATTGAAGGCAACGTCGTGGCGCGCGGTGCGTTGATGATGGTCAAATCGCTGAGTCTCGAAAGGCCATCGAAGCTCGGAATCTCCTCCAGCGAGTCGATGACGGCTAACGTCAAGTAGCGTAAGCTCTCGAGCGACGAAAGTGACGGTAGCGTTTCCACATTGGGAATATTGCCCAAGTGTAAGAACGAGAGATGTGGCATGTTGTCGAAGACCCCGTCGGGTATAGTTGCCAGTCTTCTACTCGTGTAGTCGCCCTCAATATGCCTACGAACCAGCCGACAAGAACGAGCTCACCGTGAGCTTATTTCTAGCGTGCAAAGAGGGATACAAACAGTGCTTACATATACTCGAGGTGGGCAAATTCCGATAGCCATTCCGGTATACTCTCTGTTTTCGTGTAGGCGAGGATGAGTTGCTCGAGGTAAGCGCATTTTCTCAGCTCTCCCGGTAGTTCGGGGACAGCGCGATTAATTATTTGCACGATGCGCAATTCGCCAGACTGTGCGAGTTCAGCCAGATTAGCGGTCGTGTCTTCGGGGTTGGTCCACTCAGCGTAGGTTTTCGGCGCTGTGTGCCGGTCCGCAAACACCAGACACGTGCAGAACTTTTGCCCGAAATTCCACTGGTAGCTCGCCACGGCACATTTTTCGTACTTGCCGCACAAGTCCGAAGTAGACACAATTGCTCCGACCGAATAGACAAAGTTGCCGATTCCTGCACATAAGAATATCAGCGATAGCAAGAGCTTGGCCCAAAAGTGTTTTTCCGCCTTAAACTTCAGCTTTGACGCGGTGATCTGCTTCGTAATGGCCACTTTGATGCTCGCTGAGCGAGACAAAGTATTGGGAACCGGTCCAACTAGGACTCTTCGTTTCCTCTCCAGTTGGCGTTCGTGACGATTGTGGATCAGAGTCGTGATGATTTTCTTCCATTTGTACAGAGAGAGCAAGTTCAGCGCAGATTTGTAGAACAACGTCGAGCCCGACGAGAACTGCAAGTAGTGGAAAGCACTGCAGAAACTCGAGATTTGGGACGGGTCTCCGAAAAGACGAGCTACGGTGTCGAAGGTGCCAGCACCGATCGTCTCGGTCTTTGTCTGGAAAGCCTCCCGGTCAAACTTGAACGACTCGATGAAAAAGATGAGAACGACCAGAGGTGCGAAGACGGCGAAGAATAAATCAAAGCTGCACAACAATCGTTAGTCGTGTTCTGCGCGAAGATATAGTTCAAGTAACGTACGTGTAGTAGAGTCGAGCAATGACCAGTGCCGGGTCTGCTCCGTAGCGTTGGCTACGGTAGCAAGCCACAAGCCAATTACAGAGCAGCAATACCGAATAGGTGTATATAATCGCAGTTGGGAACCCCTTTTCGAGGTACGTGTAGAGTGTGATGGTCTGGAAAATGAGCTTGGGGAGGTCCAGTGCTGCCGTCTACCACAAATATGATAGCAAAATCGAAAGAATACAAGGGGTTAAACCCCCTCACGGTCAGTTTAAAAAGTAAGAGATGTTCTTACGTAGTAGTGCTGGCGAATCTCCATCGGTAGGTCGCATCTGTGTCGAATCCAGGAGACTACGCGTTGTAAGCGGCTGCCCCCTGGCTCACTTTTGACCGCCGAAGTATCGAATGAGGGTTTCGGTGGAGCTGGAGTAGCATCTTCGTGAAGTTTAATGTTCTCACCCGAACGATAGAAGAAAATCATCGTCACAGCCAACCCCGTATAGCCAATCCCAAACAGTGCAAGCAGCACAACAGATGAAATGATGAGAGCAGAATCTGGCCGAGGGAGAAGCCAGAACTTGCCCTTGTCGAACTCCGTAGTGTTCATGATGGTATTTGCCATCTCGTCGGCGTGAACTTGAATGACAGCGAGCATGAAAGTCCAAGCAGCCGAGAGAACGAACACGATGATCATGGGCACTCCAAGCAGACCGAAGACGTCGAAGAAAGTGGCCACTTCAGCAGCTACAAGGTTGACAACGGATGGTCTGGGCGCTGGCGAGTCAGAAAGTGATTTCCTAACAGCATCTCGTGCAGCGGCAGCTGTGGCTGCTGGTTGTTGCGTTTGGCTCGTTCTCGAGCTCCTGGCATCAACGACGTTGTCCGTTTCGCCGATGAGAGAAGCTACTGTAGCCATGTCTTCCTCCGCTGTAGGTTCAACTGCATCCACTCCGTTGCGAGGAGCGTCTTCTCCACTCAATGCCACCACCATGACGACCCAGAGCCACGATGACGAAGCCAGTTGTCTCCACAAGGCAGCAGCAAGAATAGCGACTGCAACTCTGCTTTACTTGTCGTCCGTTTCGCTTTAGCGAGTAGTCTTTGTCATTATTGTTGACGGAATACTCTTCGAAGAATAGCAATCGCATTCCTATTCTGGAGTCCTATCCGTTTTATCGACCGACAATAGTTGACGCGGGTACTGTGAGAAACGAAGCTAAAAGTGAATCTTGAAGCTGGCGTACCGTTGAGGTACGCTCAATGGAGGTACGAGAGCTTGTCGAGGCTGGTCTTCCTGGTGTTAGACGTCTCAGGCACCGACATGCTGGCGGTGCGCTGTGGCGAGGAATCAGCGGCCAGAACAGGGAGGGTGTGCTGGAACTGTGCCGTCGACTGGTGCAAACTCTTCGAGTCGAGCAACCCTCTCGTCGCAATGAGCCGGAGAAGCTTCTCGAACACGCTCACGCATGCAGCAGGTGATGAAATCGTCACGAGGCCAACTTCCTTACCCGGCTTTAAGGAGGAGGTCACCCAGGGCTCACTAAACGAGTCATCGGCATCTCCGCTTGTGAAGGAAAGCGCTTCCTCGAGCCACTTCTTCCTTCGCGCTTTCAGGAGTTGAAACAGCACAATCCCCCAATCTTTTTCTGCTTGCGCCGAGTCCTCAAGTGACGCACTTGATGAGCGATTTGTCCCTATCATCTTCGACAAGTCTCGATATCCTTCCACCGCTAGACTCAGCGCTGTTTGAAAGAGTGGGCGTGACAGAATCACCTGCAGCAGATCTTCAGAGCTTAGAGACAGCAAGTCGCAAGCTGACATGGTCTTAACCGTCGAGACGCCTACAGAGTACCCCAGCAACCCATGTTCTCCGAAATAATCTCCCTTCTTGTAGCTCTTATCCGTTCCCTCTTCTGAATGCCCCCCACTGGTCGTAGAGCGTAGAAACCCTTTGACGACAAAATACATTTCTTTCGAGACGCTTCCTTCCACGATCACGCACTCGTCTCGTGGATATCCCTCGTACTTGAGGTGCTGGGCTATAGCTCGTGTAATTGCCTCGACGTCACGATCGTGAGGGTGAGCGGTGGCGAATGGCCGGAACACGTTGTTAATGAACACTCGCAGCGGTAGATTCGCGATGTGCAGGATTGTCTCCGTTCGGATCACGTGCGGGATCTCGTCAAAGATCGCCTGGTAGCTCACTCCACGATGGGAGCTCCACAGAGAAGAGAGGAAGGCGTGCGCTCGAGTTCGTAGCTGTCCCGTAATCTGCCACCGCTCCAAGTACAAGTCGACAGCGATGTGGTTCTTTCGAAACTCCACCTCGTTACTGGTGTACGAGACGTACAAGTTCGCCATCTCTCCGATCATGAAGGATACCACCACCAAACCGACAAAGTCCGCGAAGATCGAGAACGTGTAGTCGACGTAATTTGAAGGCTCAAACACTTTCCCTCTCTTGATAAACGCGGTGGACGCAAAGTAAATTCCGCGCAAGAAACGAAGCAGCAGCAAGCCAAGTGGAGGGTTTGTCCAGGACATTTCCGTAGCGGTGCGAGGAGGAGCCCAATTGTCCCAATCATCGAATGTTTCAGCTGTGCTCGTGGCCGATGCTATGGAGAAGTAGGCGCACGCACACCAATGCACGAGAACAAACAGCAAGATCCACAGCGTACAGAGACGGTTCTTCTCGTACGACACACTGCGGCGGTTTATCTCTCTCATGTAGTGCGGGAAGTTGAAGAGCTTCAGACATCGATTCAAACCCAGCAACGGAGACTGGTAGAAATCCGCTAGGAAATGGTCGATCGGAATCGCTGCAACCACATCGACCCACAGTCGCTCCTTCTGGTATGCATCGCGTTGCTTGTTCTCGTACAGCTCCATGGCTTCCAGTCCGTCCTTTAGGTTCCAATTGACCCAAATATCCCACCCAAACAAGACTTCACAGATAAGTTCCAGTGCTCGAGCGACTATGGGCATGGGACTTAACCCTTCCAGCGCATCATACGAGTTACGGTGCGGAATGATAAGCGCCATGTAGACTGTGCCGACTGCGATACCCATCAGCCAGTGGACGTGGAATGCGCTCTGAGCGTCGGTACATTGCAGCAGCATGTCCACCCAAATCACGTCTTTCTTTTGCTGTGCCAATTGCGAGGCTACTGCTGTATCGGAGGACACAGAACGCTGTGCTTTGTACGAAGAGAAGAAGGACCCAGCCGTTTTTAGTGTTCCCAGCGGTCGAATCGCGGTATTTCTCGTTCCACGCTGGGGTAGTGTTTCCGAAAAACTACCAGCTGAAAGGTTCTTGCTTAGACTGGCAGCAGCGCCAAGAATGTCCACATGACTCGTCCCTTTCGAAGTATTCACAGCCACATCCATCTGCTCCTCCATGTTCAAGTTCCGAAGAAGCTGCTGCTCCTGTTGGATGTTGACAATCTTGAGCACTTTGCGCTTCCAGTCCGGATACCGCTCGAAAACAAGCTCAAGCGAACGTCGCGGCAGTCGATAGAGCACACAGGAAGTCTTGCATCGAGCGTGGGCACTGCGTGGTTTACTCGTGAAGAGAGCCACTTCCCCAAAGTAGCTACCCGACGTGAGTTCGTTCACCTTCTTCAACTGGCCTCTGGACTGCAGTTTGGACGGGTCGAGAGTGGGGAAGACCGTGTGGAACGACGATCGAGACGGAGAACCGAGAGCGTTTATCCTCTCGTCATGCGACTGCCGCCGGTGAACTGTCTCGAGCGGCACCAAGACGTCAATAATCCCCGTGAAGACAAAGAACATGTCGCTTCCTTCTTCGCCCAGACGGAATACAAACTGGCCCTTGACTGTGAGCGCTTGTACAAGCTGCGAGACGAGCATCCGCGTCACCGAATCTTCCATCCCAGCGAGGAACCCGACTTTCGAGATCATCGGTTGGAGGTGGACAAGTCGGATTTCTGTTAGCAGCGACGGTGGCAGACAGCGCTCCAAGAGAAACTCTTGAGTGATGGTGTGGTATTGTTGAAAGAAAAAGTAAGTTTTCAGTTGTTCCTGGATCGAGGATGGAAGGTGGAAATGCGCCAAAAGCAGTCGCAGAGAGCTGAGCTTGGCGTTGAACTCGCGGGAGTTGGCGTCGATCAGCTCCACGACGTCTGAAATGTTTCCAATCACGTAAGCGAAGAGGAGGGCGCCGGAGAGGAGGACGAGAATGGCGACACAACACTGCGCCTCAGTCTTGGGGAGTTCTCCCGCGTAGGAATTCGACATGAGTCCGAATGACCAGAAGAGCAGAGCCGAGTACTGGACATGCTTGTCTGCCGTCTGGAGCGATGTAGACGGCGTCCACGCGTCGTCTTCTCTCGAGGAGCTCTTAAAACTGAACCAGATGCAGCCGAATGCATGTGCCAACATGAAGGACAGCAACACCAGTTTGATCAATCGCACTTGCAGCGTGCGACTCGCGTGCTTTTCTTCCAATGTCAGAAAGGTTTTTCTCGCTTGAAAGAGACGAAGTAGCTTGTTGATACTGAGCATTTCGTGGCGATTCGACCATCCGACCAGCCAGTTTACGGTGTAAAGTGGAATAAGCGCGAGTATGCCACACCAACACTGTGGAGAACGGAAGAATCTCTCGCGTATTGTAAAAATGTCCATAACTTTGCTGCCGTACTCGTAATAGCCCAGTCGCGAGTGGAAGAAAAAGTCTAGAGCAAAGAATACTTCGAAGGGAGCGGCTACCACCTCGGACTGCACGACGTTATTAGCGTCCACGCCAGCCGTCATTTCGCCAATCACCTTAACGTACAAAGCGATAGTCAACGCAAAGATCCACAGGTTCCACATCTCGGAGCTCGTCTCATCAGGGTCGAAAATGATGTCACCGAGACCCAAATACCGCAACACCTTCGTCTCCAATGTGGCCTTGTTGGTACCGGCAGATATTGGATTCACTCCCCCACTGAAGGAACGTTCACGGTTTGTAAAGTCTTGCTGCACTCGCGCCAATTTAGCTCCTTCCAGTCTTTTTTCCAAGGCTCGAAGTGCCATCGAAAAGGTCGGAAACACTTTGTGCATACCATTGAGATGATCACGCGACAGGAAAAGCAAGATGCAGCCACTTGCGGCTGTCACGCGCTCTGCATAGCTCACGGATGTCTCGCTCAGATTCAGCGCAGCAGTCCCAATAAAGCCACCTTTCACAAGTGTGCGAGGGGCGCCACCATCGACGATAATAATCAGCTCGCCCTCGAGCAAGAAAAAGAGTCCACTGGCGTAGTCTCCTTGTCTGTAAATGACCTCGCCCTGTCCATAAAGAATGAACCGAACGTTGTCAACGAATACCTGCTCCAGCGCATCCAATGAAGGCCGAACATCTGCCAGAAGTGACAGCGTGCGTAGTGCCGACTGGCACATACTCCGCAAGACTGGACGCTTGATCGTCTCAGGAAGGTCGTTAAGTAGGTCACCAGCGACGGCGCCGCGGTGACAAGACCACCAGAAGTCCAAGAACGACTTCACCCGCTGTTGAACACCTGAAGGGACCGTGCGGGACTTGATGAATCGCTGAACACGCGTGCGTGTCACTAGAAACTCCTTCTGCTCGAACGCCGACGCCGTGATTCGTGTCTGCATCATGTCAACCATCACCGCCATCGAGAGAAACCCGCACAGCATGAAGACGAGTGCTACAGAGTACTGCAAAGTTGATGACGGCTCGACTGTTTTGCCCAGTGTGGTGAGCATTGTTGCTGCAAAGTAAAGCGCGCGTGTGTACTGCATCCCTGCTACAGCGTGCGCTTCTGCTGGTGCGTAGGAGGTGTTGGAATGCTCACTTTCGTAGTAATACACCATTCCATCCGAGTGATCCACACAGAGCCTCACACTTAACTCGCTGGTTGGTAGCCAGGATTCATCGCCAGAGTCCCCACCGAAGCCTTCCACGTAGGTGAGACTGAAGTACACGCATGCCACGAGATGAAGTGACAGCAAGTAGGCCATCCCAGCAGCTAGAAACCAGCCCTTACGGCTAAGACGGAATGAAGTCTCCCACTCCTTCAAGTGGCCTTTGATGTGCCAAACACGCAGCAACACTGGTAGTCGAAGTAAGGCTGGATGGGTCAGTAGAACTGTCGAGCCACCGAGTGGTACGAGCAGCCGATAGGGTACACAGCACAGCAAGTCTGGGACGAAAGATCCACGGAGATAGTGTTTCACTACGAGCGAAGGGTCTGTGACTTTCTTTCGGCCAGTCGTGTAGGTCAGATGGAAGTTCAGATACATGTCGATACCCAAGAGAATATCCATCAGAACGTAGCCTGCTTGTGCGCCACGGTTGATCATCGGACAATCCAGTATGGGGAAGCACAGCAGCAGCGATACGATGAAGCAGTTCGCAGCCAAGTGCACTTGGAGGACAATAAGCCAGTATTTCCGCCACCGAGACGAGTGGTCCACTACACGACGCATCAGAAGGCGACAGAAGACGCGAGACAAGGCGTCGTCAGCCAATTGTTGAGACCCACGACGTCGAGATAAATTGTCGTAAAATCCTTGCATTGAGTCTGGAGGGATACTCGTTGAGCTTTTCAGACTTGCAGCGCGCTGGGCCACCAATTGGTCCCATTCGACTCCCGGTCAGGGTACGCGGACTGGCTGCGCACCAATTTTGCTGTTTCAGGTGACGTAGCCATGACTTTGGACGGTGACACAATCGGAGTTGGCGTGAAGTTCCTGGCACGTTGCTCGCTCATTGACGCGTTCCCTCCGTCGTATTCCGAGTGACGTGACGACGATAGTGCTCTTGTTGACTTACTACGCACCAGAGAAGATCGCGCCTTTTTCGCTCGATCTCGCAACGACGGACGCTTCTTTTTTATTGGCGACTTCGAGGACAAATGAAGCAACGTCGTCAGCATATACTCCTCGCCCCCTCCGTGCGAGGATTTGGCTGTTTCTCGCTCGTTGACCATCTCGTCGATTGACGACGCGATTTCTGCGGCGCAGTCCGGGTAACCTTCCATAACCCGCTCCGTGTGGAACCTTGAAAGGCGATAGAGAGTGCAGTACGAGGTCGTCACGACCGCAGCAGACCGTGGTCTCTTGGAGAACACTGACACTTCACCGAAAAAGCTTCCTTGTCGTAGCTCACGCACTTTCACTCCGTTGACCAAGATATGGAGCACTCCCGAGTTGACCACGTACATGTAGTCTCCTTGGTCTCCAGCCTCAAAAAGCGTGACATGGGCAGGGAAACTCGTCATCTCTAGCAGACTGGTAAGCGCCACAATGAACTGTTGGTTGCAGCCACGGAAGAGCGGGATGCGACCGACCATATCCTTCAATAACTCCACTTGGATGTCCTTGGAAATTGACGGACACAGCAGCTTTACCACCTCCCGATCATTCGACTCTGCGTCAGTGTAATGACGCTTGAGATACTCCATCGCCTCCGTCTGCAGCATTTCTGGTACGCCATGGAACGTAAGCAAGTGCCGCAGTTGATTGATGCGCGCTTGAGCCAGCACCGTCTGATTGCTCTCCGACTTGGACAACATGAACAGAGTGGAGCAAGCATAGACGAAGAGAACAAACCCTAGCAGCATGACCGTCAAAGTGAACAGGAATTCCGAGTTGCGTCGTGGCAGTGCACCCTCAAAGGCCCCAGTGAGCAGCCCCACGCTCCAAAACAGAGCTTGTACGTACTGTGTGTCCAGTGACTCACTCCCCAGAGGCAGCCAACCGTCTGACACCTGCGCACTTCGGTCTCTCCAGCCGAATGCGAAGCGACCACACGCTATGACATGAGCCACAAACGCTGTGGCTACCAGAATCTTCAGCCACTTGAGAGCTCGGAAGTATTTCGCATAGACATTGTCGAGGTTCGACAAGTACCCTGGCACTCGTCTGACACGTAGCAGCTTGTGGAACTCCAGCCACCCTGGCCACCCGATTTCTTGTGGGAAGGTTGCTGTATTGGCGACAGGGAGGACGAGAGACAGCGGGATGATAGCCACAATGTCGAGGAAGAACCCAACCGACTTGAGGTACTTGGCTCGAGCTCTGCCTTTGTCTCGATGGATGTTGCCAACCTCGTAGGAGCCAGTGTTAAGTGCCACGTAAAAATCGGCGCAGAATAGAAATTCTGCACCGTAGAAGACCCGAAATGCCGCAGTGGACGATAAGAGCGAGTTTTTAGTTGCAAAAGTCACGACGAATGGAAGCAAGAACGCTTCATACAGCAGACAACCGAACAGAAGTTGGTGCCAGCTCTGGAGGAGAACGGAATTTGGGTCGAAGGCGCTGCGCAGCTCTCCGATGTAGCCATAGAAACTCCCACTGCTAGTGACATCCCTCACCAGAGAGCGACGTCTTGACCGTCCGCGCATGGGGCTCCAGGTTTAGCGAGAAAATTGCCGCTGGGAATCGGAGCGACCGTCTAGAGAGCCATGTGAAACAGTTTGTCGGGGCGAAAGGCATTCCAAGATTCCTGGTCATTTGCGAGTCAATGCAAGTGACTCATGTTCGGACGTGTTGACCTCTCCATTATCGTTATAACGCTCTAGAATATAAAGCGTGTTTTTTCCTAGGGCAAATATTGTGAGCAAGAGCATTTTAGTAGGTATTTTTTTCCGGAATGAACCATTCACTCAGCTTGCGATAACTTTCACCCTAAAACTTAACAATTCTTCTACCATTCACTCAAATAGCGATAGTTTTCATTCTAAAACTTAATTATTATTATTCGGAATTAACCGCTCAGCGACAGATTTCATTCTAAGACAAAAAAACGAGGTTAGAAATTCAAGTTCATTTATTAAGTTTTAGAATCTTTCTAAGAATACAATTTACGTACTAAACTAGGGCTTCTCAGATTTTTAATTTGAGTGGTACTTCAGAAGTACAACAATACCGTACCATCTACGCCTAGTAATTTTAAGATACCGGTATTATAACTTACAGCATAGGTAGATAACTCGTTGCTTGAAACCTAATGCACAATTTCATGACATTATGTTGCCCGTATCTCCTGCGCCAGCTTCGCAGCCGCAGTATCTGCTGGCCTCCTAACATCGTTTGCCGGTGATGCTGCAAGTGGCTACGAAAAAAGCTGCTGTGTTTCTTATCTCGACGAAATTGTTTTTTTTTTCTTGCAGTCGCCCTGTGTTTACAAAAACTCTCAGGGCCTCCTCAGTTTGCGCCCACACAATGGAATAGCATTCCTGCAGCTTCATCCTCCTATATCCAGCATTTCAAAAACGTCATTTCAGAGTCCCCCAAGCAATTCCTTCCTCTCCTTTACACTTAGGCGCCTCATAAACGCCGACACCATGTCCCTGTCGGTTGCAGCTCCCAATTCCAAAGGGTTGCTTGCCCCCTGCAGACGGAGTGACGGATCATAGCACCAGCTCAAGTAGAGAGTTATCGACGTGCGATACAAGGGACACGGGATCGACAGATCCATGGTTCCTTTCTGGAAGCCGCTGTTAGACGGCGTGCAGGCGGAGCCTAGACGTTTCGCTGCCTTCGAAGTTAGTTGACCCTTCTTGACAAAATGGTCGATCCAGTGCTGCTTGTATATCTGGGCGAGAACATACCCCGTGCCGTTGAGCGGGTGTTCGCGGAAAGGCAAGCTCACCAGCTTATCCAGGCCTATCATCTTAAACACGCCATGCAGATCCGTCGGAGACGACGAAGACGCGTTCGGGCTATTCGGAAAGCCGAGCGCCGTGTTAAGCGTAGCATTGACAAGCTGCTTGGATTCGTCAGGATCATAGTCAATTATGGAGGCGCCGAAGACCTGGGTAGTCCAATTCATGCTGTAGCCGTAGTGCATGCAATCGCCATGCATAGAGCAGCGACGAGCGAGATCGTGGAAGTCCTCGGGTAAAAAGTAGTCGAGCACATTGGACCACGAGATTGTGTACGGACGTAAAGCAGCGATCTGCGCCAACAGCTTACGGTTCTCAACATCGTTCGCAGCTTCTCCACGTACTGCCTTGACGACGCCATACATGACGTCGATTGTCAGTTTGTTTGCCACCATTAAGCCTCGAAGGCGACATAGATTCCGCGTTATACAAACCACAAACAAGTCTGCCACTGATAGCCGATGAATGGAGGATTTCTGCTTCTTTTGTCGCTCAGCGAACTCTTCCAAAATGTCCAAGAACTCCATCGTATTGAACGCAATATCCTCTTCGAGCGGGGGAGCACCTGGTGGCACATTCCACATCGTCAAACTGCCAAAGCGTCGATCTCTCGCTGCTGCTTCTCCTTGGTTGGCATTTCTCTTTTTCTTCTTTGCCTTCTTCTTGCCGGATTTACTACTTTCTGACGTTTCAGCTTTCGTGCCAGCAACACCAGTAAACTCTTCCTCCATTATCTTAACGACCATGGGAGACGCTCGGATCTCGCCAGTTAGCATGTACTCGGTCAGATCCAATCTGTCAATTTCGCGGCGGAAACAGCAAACTGCGAGCAGAGCCTTCTCGTTGTATCTCTCCATGTTGAGGAAATACTCGGACCGAGCCTTCGCGGCAGATATCGACTCAGTCATCGTCCAATACTTTAAATACGACAGCACCTTGGCGTTTTCCTTCTGTTCGTCCAAACACTCGAGCACCGCCTTCACGCACTTCCGAAAGTCGCTTAGCGTAGTTTCACTCCACGTCGACGACAGCCACACCTCCATGACGCTCAAGATCGAGATGTTGGGAGACCCAAGCATATGCGCGACAACCTTGCACTTCGCGACGGCAAACTCGCTCATTTCGACCCCAAAAAAGCGCAACGGACCCTCGCTGTTCGCTTTGTCGTGCAAAGTGGCACAAGCAAGACTACTTAAGTCGTTAAACCCAATGGCGACGTGCGTGGTGCCAAAGAAATAGACTTCAGCTCGGTTCGGATTATTGGCGAAGTTGGACCGGATGCGAGCATCGTACTCCGGCAGGGCCTTGATGCGGGCGTCACGAGCGTCGATAATATCGCCATATCTCAAAGAAGCCCCTTTCGATTGGAGGATCTGCAACGCGGCAGTTCCGTGCCATCGCTTCACCATGTCACCCGGATGCATAGTTCTCTTGAACGTCCCGTCACGCATGCTCTGGGCCATAATCCACGGGTTCGCGCTAGCGTCAAGGTACGCTCGGTGAAGTACCTTCCCAGCGAAAACTGGGTCGACTCCTTCCGGCCACCCTCGCAGTTTCGGAAACTCGACGTGGATTTTAGGCGGCGGATGCTCCAAGAACATCACCATTTCGCGCGGCAGGGCTTGGTACTGTGACGCGGGAATTCCGAAGCGCATCATATTCTCGAGCGATTCCATCCGAGCGATATACTGGTCGATAGATTCGTTGTCTCCACAAGTCGCATCTTCTCCTTTCGTTTTCTCGTGCAGGCCCGCAGAGGTAATGCTGTGAGGCTGTAAGGCGTCACGCTCTCTTCGCTGGACATCCGTCGCTGTTGCTGACACCGGTTGGACAGTCTTAGGGGTTGCACTTTGCTTCGAACGCAGTTCGACGTCAGCGACCATACCAACCTTAAATTTCTGCACCCGATCCCTACTTTCTGCTGATGCGAGGGCCTTGGAGACGACATCGGCACGGATCGAGTTTAAGTCAGCAATGCACCTGACCGGTGTAAGCCCAATCCTTTGCAAGCACCTTGCTCTTCTGGTCCAAGCCTTGTAATTCAACGGATCGACGATGCCAGCGATCGTACAATTTAGAAGTGCCAACTCAGTGGACGGTACCTCGTCGTTTGTCTTGGCGTGATTCGCGACGGCTGCTGTCACACTGATTCCGGGGACGCTGCTAGTCTCGTGATGCAGCTTCAAGTGTACAGCAGCAACGTTGTTTAGCACAAGCGATACACCCCTGGAGCACAAATTGAGCGCCTTCAATCCTTTCTGGTAGCACTCCTCCGCAGCGCGGAAGTCACCCTTAATAAAGCAGTCCGACCCCGCCTTTCGCCATGCGTCTGCATCTCCAGACACGGTACTGTTTCCTTTGACGAGCATCAGCAAACCAGGTGCTCCAAGATCTGCGCACCACCCCACGTAGGACTGGAACAGCGAATGATCCTCGAGTGGGGGTGGGTCCTCTTTGCCAATCGTATTCTCCACCAGTCGTCGGTCCTTCGCCGATAGATTCGGTATCGCACGGCATGCGTGAGCCACTACACGCTGTGCAAGGAGGCAACAACCTCCGGCTTGTTCAACAAGAGAGGCAGCGAGACGGAACCAAGCCTTGACGTAACCAGGATCAAGGTGGGCTGCTGCACCGGCAAGCTGCACGGCTGTGTTGAACTCACCCAGTTTGAGCTCACACGTGGCCATGTTGTTCAGCAGCACCGCGAGTTTCTTCACGTCAGGAGCCACCGTTTGCATCGCACGCTCGTAGCACGCCAACGCGCCGCGACCTTTATTGCTGCTGTTCAATAAACCGAAAAAATCGTTCCCGAGCTTTTTCCACGTCGCCAAGTCTCTCGGAGCGTCGTTCCACGGGATAAGCTCCTTGGGTTGTTCTACGCGTATCCCTTCCGACATGTCCTGCCTCACTTTATAGTACGGTTCGAAAACTACAATCGGCTGTCCTTTGGGGAAGCGACTGGAGACGATACGCTGCTTTTCATGGGGTGCTAAGTCATCGTCTACCAGTCCATAGGCTGCAATTTCCACCAATTCGCCTGTCACATCCTCCAGCAAGAGCGACGTCGAGGCGATCCCGAAAAACGCATCGTCGATAGCCACCCACCCGCAGAGGAATCTCCCTCTGTGGGTTGTGCCTAATGTAAGTTCTTTGACTATCATTGGCTTGAGCAACTTTAGGGATTTCATGTCCAGATTAGGCTTTGCGTCCGCTTTGTTGGCAAATGCCACTTGAACTGTGTCCGGGGTAATCCGTCCCGCTGCCAATTGGTCGGCAAATATGCCTCCAGGTCGCACGAATTGAGCCCGTCCCTTCTTGAATCGCTGGATGAGTCCTTCTCTTGTGCGAGCCTGCCGAGCCTGCTGCGCGTCGTCGTTGACCTGGCGCGCCGCTTCCTCAAGTAACTCTTTGCGCTTTTCGGAAGGAAGCTTTCCTAGAAACTCCATCATCTTGGCTGGGTCGTAGCCCGGTAGCATGGGGGTTGACATGGATGGAGGGGAAGAAAATGAACTGGAAGATTGACTTACCGGTACGCACCGACAAAAATGAAAAAAAATGGATCATAACTTGATTTTCAAAAGTTTTTAATAAAAAGTATTCTCTAAGATTGAACGTTCTTTTCTTTTTAAAACAAACTCTTTTTAGAAAAAAATATTTTTTTATTAAAATGCTCCTATTTGAAATGCTCAGTTGAATCTTAACAAAAACTGAAGTACTTTTAATTTTCTGGGTCAATACAAAGTACTTCAGTTTTTGTTTTAATAAGATTCAATTTTTCTTGTGCATCCGTCTTTTTCCTTTTCTTCGAAAAATATTTGATTTTAAAGTACTCCTGCTATAACGGATGTACAAGTTAACCCCTTGAAACCGGCTGATTTTTCCTTTCCTTAAATTGCATATGCAAGATAGTTTGACTTGGTGTTTGTATACTTTTATTTGTTACAGAGATGGTCGACGAACCGAACGTTGTAATAACCGGTGCAAACTGCATATTAACGTGCATACACGGCTGCAAGTTTAGGTTCTAAACTGCATTATTCATTCCATTTCCGTAACATAGATGCTGACTTCCGGTCGTCTGGTAGTACAGCGATAGGCGGGTGCAGAAACGGTTGCAATTTTAGAGATATTTGAATGTCGAATTTTAGAAACTGTCCAATTGCGTACATATATTGAAGTTTTCCCATCCAAGTGGCGAGCAAACAAAAGTTCAGCTTTTATGGCTCATACAAATATGAAGCCTATAATATAATCTGAGCATGGGCTTCCGGCTCTGGCCTCACGGACTGCATAGTAAGCAAAATGAATCGACGGTTGCACTTTATTCTCAACCTGCAAGAGATATAGAAAGACAATTTTCACTGCAGCCATTACTTCGCAAAAACACAAATACTGATGATAAAATGCATATTCACCCTTTAATATCCTGCATATGCATGATACTTAATCAGCAGCATCTCTCAGTCTTTTGCGTGATCCACCACCTTTCGTTGGAGTTGCTGGGCGCATACGGATGCGGCGTTCTTGGTTCGAAGGTCGCAGCTTTCCTTCACTCCATTCCTTGTGCCACACGTCAAAGCAGGTTGTCAAGACTCCGCGAATCACATGCCTCGGGCGCATACACAGGTAGATAGGCGCATTACCATCGCACTCGGAGCAGTAGTACGCCGTCGTGTGGGGCTTCGCGCCCTGCATCAGAGAGCAAACTTTACACGCACGCTGACGCCGCTTCGGCTGCGTATCTCGGTTCCTCCATTCATCCACCAACTGTGCTACATGAGTAGAAGCGTGCCCCGCCACACCAGAACGAGACGTACCGGCGATCTGCTCCCTCTCACAAAACGTGTTTCCGTCGAACATGTCCACTTCTTGGAGCTGGGTGAGCTGCAAGTGGAGGCGCTTCATGAATTTAACGTGCGTCAACAGCTTTGAAGTCTCGTGCTTGTGGTAGGCCTTGTGTACAATGTAGCTGTTCACTATAGCGATATCAATAAGCCCCAGCACGAGGCTCTTGTAATACTTCCGAAAAGTCACAGCCCGCTGGAGGGAGTATCTTTGCAATCGAAGCTGGTCATGTACGTCGACACCCCCCATAAACTGATGGTAGTCCTTGATAACACGGGGGGCGACGACCTTGTGGTGTTCACCAGCTTTGTCTTTCCGAACGACTCTATCCAAATCCACACTCCCACCCGTAGCCAAAAAGTGCACAGGTTTTGAATCCATCCAGCAAATTGCGCGTAGGCCAGGTACTTTAGAAGATTCCACAATCTTACACGTCCCCCGATCCACATCTCGTGGCCGTGTTTTCATCTTACAAATGATCTCTTTGCAGTACCCAACGCGATTTGTCATTATAGTGCCCACACAATAGTACCCCATCAGTAGTAGCTGAATCAGGAGAGCAACCGAGGTGTAGAAGCGATCGATGACAACCAGTTTCTTTGCGGGCAACGGAGCGTCACCGAACACTTCGCGGAGGTTTCGAACGACGGCGGCAGGGCCTTCCTTCTTGTCGAGTTGGGCAGCGTCGCTTGCATGATGTTTCTTGCCGCAGTATACTTCAAACCTGCATAATGCAGTTTAAACAGGAACATACTTTCATTCGTAAAGTGAATAATACAGGATAAGAAAAGTTTAGAACAAAAAAAAACACCTGATGCAGTACGCCGTGTGTGCACTGCACAACATAAAGAGCTTCGTTCCCCACTTGTGCGGTTTTGCTTTCATGTAGACGCGCATCTTGTTGAATCTGCTGCGGCTTGGAAGCATGGCTTCATCAAATGAAAGCTCTGCAGGCGGTACGTATCCTTCGCGAAACGTCCGCTGCAGCACTTCAACAACCTTGCGGATCTTCCAGGCTCGATCCGTGGTCGCTCTTGGGTCGTCGTTATCATTGAAGTGTAGATTTCTGCAGATATCCATGAATCGATCTCGTGCCATCACAGAACTGAACGCTCCACGTGGAATCGCCCCCTCGTCGGTGGTTTTCCAGTGGTTTGCCAGCTTTTCTCGGTTTGGGCAAATTGTTCGCGCGATCAGTAGTCCCACGAAGCGACACAGCTCGTGTGGTTTGATTGGAGGAACTGCTTGAAGCTCTTGGAGCACATTGCGCCGTGTCTTCTTCTTCGTGGCAGGATTCGCTTGACAGCGTCGCTTGTGGCGCTTGTAGGCATCGTCAACACGAGCGTGGAGCATATCTCTTTGGTACTTGTTTGAACAGACAGCAACGTGCTGCCACAATGCAGCCGGCATGAAGTAAAAGAACAACGCCATAGGCGAGTCCCCACGATGCAGTACTTCAGGAGTGGGTCCGGAATAGCCTTGGTGAAGTCCCGGGTAGCTACTAGCGCCTTCAACAGGAACGTAAGGCGTCTGTAACTCCTCATACACATCCGGTTCTTGAATTGGGCCCCATCCATTAGTCGAAAACTCTCTCAGTGTTCTGTCCAGCAAGTTACCCGCCAACACAGCGTCGGTGCCTCCAAATCCATCCATAAATTCTTTTGCCAGCGCAATATCCATCTCGTCTCGTTCAGGGTCCGGCTCCGATCCATCGGCCGCACTGGCATTTGATACCCAACCACTGCAATCAGACTGGGTATCTGTGACAACGTCGTCCCTTGCCGCTTCATCGCCAGATTCAAGTGCATCATAGTTGGGGTCTCTTCCGCCCGGGGCGTCCACATTCAACCGGTCAGTTGTTTCTGCAAGTATATCTTCGTAACACAAGCATAAAAAATCGTTATCATGAATAATCAGTATAAGGTATCATGAATATGCAGCATACGCACTGAATCGCATTGTAAGACATACCCGTTTCGTTGTTCTCTTCAACAGACTCAACGCTGGAATACCCTTCGTCCCCCCATTCAACATTTTCTTCGTCACCTCCATGAGGACCTGGCAACACGATGGGGGTTTGAGCGACGACTTGAGTAACGGGTTCAGCTACTGGCACTGGCGCTTTTTCTTCATCAGATATGGCGTCGTCAACTATAGTGCATTCACAAGCGTTAGACTGCATCAATATGCATGTGGTCGATGAAATATTCAGGATAGCGTACGGGCTTCTTCGGGCGGATGTACTGCATGAGCTAATGCATAATGCTAGTTAGTTATCCTGCATATCCTGCATATCATATCATGAATATGCAACTGGTACTCTCATGAGCGGCGACGTTTCTGCTTGTCCGTGGCAGGCGGCTTGGGCACTTTTCGAGTGCGCTTCACTTGCGTTTGTCGCGTCAAAGGCTGCTGAGTACCTGAAGAAGGTTGAAGTGGAGACGTGGGCTGGGTGGTGGCCGCTTGAGCGTGTGGTGATCTTGCTGTGACAGCAGGATCAGCAGGAGGTGCTGGTGGCGTATGGAATGGTCAAGAACCGGTAGACGAAGGCTTTTTGGAAGCTGTAACATCATACAAACAATTGGTTAGACTGTGTAGCCAGCAATCGCCACCATCTCGCTTACCACCACTGTAGTACTCCAACAGCCCTTCCTCCCCAAGAAAAAAGTCGATGCCTTTTGTGCCGTTAGCATGTCCGCCAGGGCGAACGTACTTCCATCTCGGATCTAAGTCCTTCGCTCGCGGTCTTACAGATGTCCATCCCTGCTTCTTCAGCTCCTTCCACGCCACACCAAACGGGATGTTTTGACTGCTCACGTACTTGCCTCGGACAGCCACCATTTCATGCAGAGAGCCTGGCTCCGTTCTTTTCCAGCGCGAATTCTCGAATGAGTGGCTGGAGAGGGAGCGAAAAAATTACCTTTGGAAAATAATGTAAAACTCATGTTTACCACATAAACTTTTTATATCTTATATTCAAATTTAGAGAAATATTATCTGTCTCGTCGCTTGTTATGTGTATCTTCTATGCTACCACACGTACAGAGAGCCTGGTTCTTTTTGACTTAGATTTTGTATAGCCGAGGATTTGAAAAAAAAAGTAACTATACAAACTTTAAGTCATATTTGAGCTTAACCTGCAATATGCAGGTTAAGCATTTTTGAAAAGCTGCATATGCAGGCTCCCGGTTTGAAGGGGTTAAATGACCCAAAACAAACAGGTACTGTATTAATAAGTTTACGTTCTTATTGGTACATGTACATGTAGCCTTCAAAAAGGCTGGAGGGACGGGACACCTCTGCACATTTGCGTTCTTTCTTTCGAGCATGGCCTCAAGCGCCAGAATTCCAGTGGGAAGCAGCTCCAAGCAGGTCCACGGCAGCAGGAGGGATGCCGCCGGTCGATCTCGGATCATTGGTGCGTCCTCCGTGTCAAATTCCAGTCGACGTGTGAACGGGAGCGTCGCCAATGTGAACGGAGGAGCTGCCGGCCACGGCTCTGGACACTCGACTCGCGTGTATTTGGACGGACAAGATGTGACTCCGCAGTCCTTACTGGTGAGTCGCATCAAGACATCGACAGAATCCAAAGGCAGAGGCAAAGGAGGAAGACATGCTCGCTCCAAAGCCCACGTCGTCGGTGCTTCTACTGCTGGGGCCTCGATGGCCGGAGCCAGTTTTCTCTTCAGCACTGCATCGACTTCTTCGGCCGACAATGACTCGGACAACGAGAGCTCTTCCTCTATCGTAGGCACAGCGGGCGTGAAAGCGCCTCGAAAGGAGCCGAAACCGAGTATCGTAGACCATCCAACTACCAGTTCTGTGACCCCTTCATCGAATCAGGAAGCGGACGAAAACGCTCGATCTGCGGCTACTGCTGGCCCGACTGACACTGAAGACCACGAACAAGGCAAGGGTGAAGCCGGCGATCCTCTGGGGCCCGTTCAGGACGCTCCTCTACTGGCTGGTAGAAAGTCCGTGGCGGTTGCAACTGGGATATCCCCGGGCGTGCGCCGGCCGATCACTGTGAGACTTGGCGAGACTGCGACGGAAACGCTTTTCGAGCTGCGCAGTGTTTGTGTGGCAATTGATGCACCTGATCATAACGCTGTCGCGGCGAGGAATAAACGCTATCAAGCGGTCTGCGCGCAGAAGAAAGGCAGCGACAAGTACGTTCAGGGTCGAACTCAGACTCTGCAGCTCGCACAGAAAGCAAAAGAAGTCATGACGGCCCCGCCAGCTACGCGTGACGCTGCCTGTGTAGCCACAGACTGGGATATCTACGACTGTGGGAAGATGGAGGATGAAACTAACGCCGACGACGAGGTTGGTGGTGCCATTCCGATCGGAGCTTCTCAGGCTCAACCATCGTCAAGTGAAGGACAGTCTAGAACCACAGAAGGACCGCCAGTGGCTACAGGGACAGAACCAATTGGAGGGGGTGTTGGGGATGTTCAGCTAAAGCAACAAGTTGAGGAGATCGTCGGGGCCACGTTAGCCTCCCCTGGTTGTGTGCTGGATGTGGATGGCGACATTGTCGAGGATCTGCGTGCAAGGCAACATCGCGCTTCGAGACCAAGCCGCAAGACGCAAAACAGACACGGTTATAGCAGTACTTACAGCCAGAAGTCCCGGGTGTTCGACAGTCAACGCTCTACTGCAGTGGCGACGGCATACGTGTCGGGGAATTCCAACGCGTCGATTGTTCTGGGCGACCAAAGCGGTGGCAGTATTTCAGCTGGTGCCTCGCAAGACTTTGCGGGTTTAACAGCCGAAGGTGCAAGCTCGGGCAGTGCAGCGACCAACTCCCAAGTAGGAATGAGCGTCGCGAACGCGTCACGTGGCGTCCTCAGTGGTGCAGTAAACGGAAGTGGCGACCAAAAAGGTAACAACGTGTACGCTCGAGCCAATACTAACGTGGATCTGGGCGAGATCATTGCTCGTCAACGAACGTCTCACGTCTTGGGCTCCTCCTCCCTCACTCTCATGGCCAGTATCGTGGAACGTGCCGTTCAACAGAATGTCTATCACGAACAACACGTCAGGTACCGAGATTTCCCCATGCTCGAGACGATAGAAACAGTAGCTGAACCTCCAAATGTGATCGTACCAGCACTCGACATGGGTTTCCCGGGGACTGTCGGTTCCGGACGCTCAGACTCGTTTTCAGTCGGTCCAAAAAGCATCGAAGAACTCGAAAAGCTGTGGACTTTCAGCTGTGAGCTCACTCAAAACAGGACCGTGTCGTGTCTCGCGTGGAACACGGCGAATGAAGATTTACTCGCAGTTTCTTACGCTCGCAACGATCAGTCGATTCAACCCGAAGTTCCCGCTGCATCTCCGTCTCCCGCCAACGGTGTTCAAACGTCCGGTACAGCTAGTAATTCAGTGTCTCGACCTGGACAAAACTCTCAATCTGCTGCAGCTTCTACAGCAGCCGTCGGTGCTGGAACGACGGGCACGGAACGAGACGGTTTGGTTCTCTTCTGGTCGCTGACAAATCCTGAATATCCCGAGCGGATCTACCAACTTCCTGTGGGCGTGACCTCCATCGACTTCAGTACTGCACATCCGTATCTGCTTGCAGTTGGTTTTGCCGATGGTGTCGTGTCCATCTATGACACTCGAAAAGACGATTCCGTCTCCTGTAGCTCTGCTTCAGGCTCTGCATTGTTAGGTGTGACGCCAACGCCAACAGCGAGGCACGCTCCAGTTCCGATCGCGTCAAGTTCAGGTCAGAGCGGCAAACATCTTGATGCTGTATGGCAAGTCAAGTGGGTGGCTCATGGAGGCAGTGAAAGCGTCGTCAGTGTCTCTGCGGATGGGCGCGTTGTCGAGTGGAGTCTCAAGAAAGGACTGAGTTACAGTGATCTCATGACGCTCAAACGGGCACCAAACCCACTTCTAGGAGGCCCGGGGACTGCTGCAACAGGGGTAAATGGCGTCGGAGGGGGCACAGATGGGGTGATTTCACGACAGGCGAGTGGTCGGAGCCTCGCCTTTGCCAGTCAAGGAGATCCGTCCGTTTACTATGTGGGAACGGAGGACGGACTGGTGCACAAGTGCTCGGTATCGTACAATGAGCAGTACTTGCAGACGTATATTGGCCACACTGGCCCCGTGTATCAACTGCTGATATCTCCGTTCTGTAGCGACCTCTTTCTCTCGTGCTCGGGTGACTGGAGTCTTAAGCTATGGCATCAAGCTGACCCTCACGGGGAAGCAACGCTCACGTTCCACTCGGTGGACCTGGCAAAGGCAGTGCTTGGAGCGTCCTGGAGTCCGAGTAACGCCGGGGTGTTCGCTGCTGTGGCTGAAGACGGTCGTATCGAGCTCTGGGACCTCATTCAGTCGACGCTAGACCCGGTTGTGCGTCATTTTCCAAAGAAATTCATCTCTGTGCCTGTTCCTGTGACTCAACCGACTGAGGGCGATGCGCTGGATTCATGTACCCGAGATTTGACTCCCAAAGAACGCGACGATGACGAAACCTGTCGAGACCCGAACGCAGTCGAAGTCCCAGCCACAACAATGGTTGAAGTGCCGCTGGAGTGCACTACCGTAGCGTTTGCCCCGAAAGCCCCCGTGCTCATTGTCGGAGACTCGACAGGAGACGTGACGGTGTACAGAGTCCCCGCTCAAGCTGCCAAAAGTGCAGCCTGCAACGGTGAAACTTCTGACACAGCGTCACATGTCGAGGATCAGGCTGCTCGATTACTGCGCACAATTCGGGTTAATAAGCACGAATAAAAAGAGTACGATAACTATTACTCCGAAGTAGTTTGCAAGTTGCTACTGGAAATTGGCACAAACTGAAACCTCAGCGTCAGTGCCTCGCAACTCGAGTACCGGCAATTGACATGGAAAGATATTTGCTCGCATTGAACTTAAAATTGGTCGAACACTTCGAAGGCAGCTCGATCTTCTCCATACAGAATGACAGCGTCGTCAACGGGCGAGTCCGGGTACTCGTCGAAATGCGTATGGTCGCCGGGTCCTCCCACTGGCGGTAGATATGGCGGCGTCTCGGAGCGTGCGAGCACCGAATTCCAGTCCACTTTGCCGAAATATTTATGTTTCTTCACGTCTTCCGATCCGCCTCGTAAGCAGCCTAAAAGAACACAATACAGACAAGAATATCGTAAGTCACTTGGCGACGAAATACAACGCCAGCCACGTTGAACGTACCGAGTCGCTTGGTACGGTCTTGCGATAAGAGCTTCTTAATGAGGTCCTTGGCCTTGGAGTCTATGTGCTTGGGGAAGTCCACCTTGCCGTCCAGGATCTTTTGATAAATACCGAACGGGTTCTCGTCGTAGAAGGGCGGATACCCGGCCAGCATCTCGTAGATAAGCACGCCGAGCGCCCACCAATCCACCGACTTGCCGTGACCTTTACTCTGAATAATCTCCGGAGCGAGGTACTCGGGTGTACCGCATAGTGTCCACGTCTTGTCCTCAACGATCTTGGCAAAGCCAAAGTCGGTGATCTTGAGGTATCCTTCGGATGTGATAAGGAGGTTCTCGGGCTTTAAGTCTCTGTAGATAATGTGTTGCGCATGGAGACAAGCCAGTGCTGTGACCAATTGCGCTGCGTAGTAGCAGGCCACATGGTCGGGGAAACGGCCTTGGCGTCGCAAATAGGAAAAGAGCTCGCCACCTTGCACATATTCGAGAACAAGATACAATCTTCGTTCGTCCTGGAAATGACCCAGGTAGTTGACGATAAACGGGTGTTGAATTCTGCTCAAGATCTCCACTTCGCACTTGATGTGGTGCAGCTGTTGCAGCCGCAAGATCTCGCTCTTCTTGAGGATCTTCAGTGCGTGGAAAGACCCCACGCCTTTCAGTTGCACTAGGCGTACGCGGCCAAAAGTGCCCGTACCCAAAGTTGCCAGGAGATCAAAATCACCCAAACAGAAGGCTCGTCGTACGCGCGGGGCATCTACGGGTGCAGCAGGGGAGATGGCGTTGGCGGGGGCCCCCTTCTCGTCGACTACCGGACCGGCCGTCTTCTTGCGGAACATTGCGGCTCTATTGTCGACTTGGGAGCTGACCCAACACCTTCCAGCTACTGAGTGGTTTCCGGGCGGTTATGTGTCCGCGTCTGGGACTGTGGCGGGCAAGAGCGCAAGTGACGCTCGGCGCTGGTAGCTCTCCGACGCTTCGACTAGATCTGGTAGCAAAACGGTACTGAAATCAGGTTGCGTTTTGGCCAGTAAAAAACCTAGAAGGAACTTTCCAGAGTGATGATTGGATGAAACGACAGCTCGAAGAGGTTTACCGGTATTGAACCGTCTGCCTCTGAAGAACGCGCAGAGAAAGTGATGAAATGTGTAGGAATGTAAGAAAAGGTAGTCTTGCTGATTTGGCAATGTTGAAGTCACAACGACAGCGACCACCAAAAGCAAAGATCATCAAACAAGTTGCAATGAAAGATAGAAAAGAAATACATGTATTACATCTCTTAGATTTTAATTTGACATCGCCTTAAATGGCCCCACAGTCAAAACACTTCACACGGGCTGCCGCGGCATCTTCACTTGACATACGGTATGTCCTCCTCTAAGGAACTCCTCGTTCTGAAGCACTCTGTTCGTTACGATCTTTGTGAAGTGCATGCATGAGGCCTCGACACACACTTGATGTTGCCTCACTGCGCGAAAACAATGAGTGCATACGTGTTGGTACATTATGAATGCAGAGAACGGTCTTTGAAAGCCCACCGAACACGTCGCTTCGACGGTGGAAAAGCGATCTTGGAGCAACTCAGGTTGCACGAGATCTCTTGCCTGTCTACACTTGTTACCAAGTTTTTTTAGTAACACTTTTACAGGACACAGGTACCATAGTCTCCGCTACTTTGATTACATTGTTCCATGGCTGCTTGAGAATGGTGCTTTATTCTTCTACCTTGCCCCTCATACTTAATCTCTTTGACATGTTTCTTTGACATGAAGGAATTGCTGTCACGTCTCAGATTTCTCTGTGTTTGTTAACAGCTTGAGTCTGTGTGCTACGTTCCATTGCCAATTGCATCGTTCGCTCAAGACGCATGACAAACAGTGGTCAGTCGACAATCGTCTCACGGATTCCGTGAGACGATTGTGACACGGAAATTGCAAAAGCTGCATTGCTCCAAATAATATAAAGGCACTTGCGGCCAGTCACTCACAGCCATCTAAGCCTACAGTCCACCCGAAGTAGACTTGTCTAGCGTAACGCCACGTACTCTATGTACACTCACTAACGATCATCAGATCTCGGTGCTCTTGTCACTACGGCTCGAATCCACGGGTCCGGCTGCGACACGAGGTGCGTCTGAATGGGTTGTCAGGCGGGATGACGAGCGACTTCGATCACTGCCGCCGGTATGTCGGAGCTCACCGGACAGAGCGGAGAAAGCCGACGACGATCGAGTCACGCGGGACAACCCAGAGGCTCCACTACCAGTGCTCCCGAAGCTCGATAAGTTAGTCGCAGACCACCCGCTTAGCGTCGTGTCGCGCGTGTTACGTGACGGCTGGCGATCGGTGTCAGATGCCAGTACAGAGCTCCACGATCCACTAATTTCACTGCCGCTCGTCATAGACGATCCTACCGAATACAACGCAGACACTCGAGCATTTCTTGTGTCTAATTCACCGCTAAAACTCTGCATAGAAGGCACTCGACTTCTGATGCTAATGTCCGTCAACGGGTCGCAATGGTTGGCAGCCATCCTGTGACCACGGAGAGACGGCACTTCGTCGGCACTTTCCCCACTTACAGAAGACGCTCCATCGTATGTTGGAGGCGGGACAGCGACCATAAGTGCTGTGCCGTTGTAGCCACTTTCCATAAAGGAATCGTCCTGCATGAAGGTTGGCGATAGTCTTGTGATGGAGCGCATGTCCATGTCGTAGCCGTAAGGGAGTGGACTCTCGTCGTCGTCATCCGCATACTTTTTACGACTAATAGCCACGAACATGACCAGGAGACCCATGATGCCAGCAACCACTCCCACAATCGCTACGATGGACCCTGTGCCCAAACTGTAATACGTAGCGGCACTGGTGTTGACGTCGGACACGCCGCCAGGCTTCAAAAGCCCATCCAAGCCAGTTTTACTGTCTCCGCTGTTACTGGAGCCTGAACTCTTGCTGGATTCACCCTGGTCACTGGTTGTACTACTGCCGGCGCTGATGTCTTCACTGCCTCTGTGTGTCTCCTTTTTCTTCTTCTCTTTCTTCTGTTTGCCTCCACGAGAGTTGGAGCTCTCGATGTCCATCGCATCCGACCCGTCCAAACTCACATCTGCACTTGAGCTTGCGTGAACTTGACCTGGACTAGTTCCCTCGCTGCTCTCTTCGCTCCCGCTTGCTGAATGTAATGTCACTGTTTCGTTGTTACTGCTGGAGCCGGACGATGCTGTCCATGAGGATGGCGTTTGAGATGACGGTGCAGCACCAGTAGAGGGGGTGTCAGCTGCCGCGCCACCGGTTTCCATGGCTGGGTCTTCTGTTATTGGCATCACTGTGCTCTCGTCTGGAAGAATCACCGCAGCGTCTGTGGAGGCCGATCCCGCTATTGCAGGCACGTCCGTCGCGTCGTCGATAACGCGATCTGGCGTTGGCCCTGCTTCTGAACTACTGTGGGTGGTGGATGTCGGTGTGTCTTCTACAGGTGCCAGCTCTGGAGCTTGCGTTGCTGGTGCTGCGGTTGGCGCCGGAATCTCTGTTGAAACGGGAGCGTTTGCAGCTGTTGGTGTTGATACCGACACGGGGGCCTCAGTTGCCACCGACACAGGGGCGTCAGTAGCCACTAAGGGAGCTTGTGTCCCTATAGAAATTGTCACGGGCGCGATGGTCGGAGGCGCTGGCGCTGCCGTCGGCGCCGCACTTTCAGTCCCGCTATCACCTGTCGACTCTGCTCCTGTTTCATCGTCACTGGACGGCGGTGGTGTCGGCCTCCTCGTCATGTACACTGCGTGCGCTACTCCACTACGTCTCGTGGCTGTTGGGGCCGTCGTCGTCTCCTCTTTATCTCTTGATCCCGACACTGTCGTTGTCACCGACACGCCCGTCGTTGGAGCTGTCGTCGGAGCCGGCGCCCGCGTTGACGGCGCCGTGGTCAATACTGAATCTGCAATAGCCGTCGGGCTCTCGTTCTCGTCGTTGAGACCCCCGCCCCCTTCGTCTTCGCTGCTCGTTGTTGCGTGTTTTTCTGCTATATCATCGTCTGCATCTGATGCGCCTCCTATCGTGATCGAAATGGACGTCGACGGGCTGTGCGTCGTCTCATCCGTCCGCGTGACGCCGCCCAGTACCGTGGACGCCAAGTTCGATACAATAGTGTTGGCTGTATCCACGGCTTCGTTGGCCACCTCGGTTATTGTGTCTGTCACTGCGTTGTGCGCCTCGTCGAACGTGATAAGGCGACGGTCACTGAGCGCCGCGCAATGCGCCACCACGGCCGCCATCGCGCCGAACGCCAGCATCGCGCGTCTCCTTCTGCGCGCTCCACGGCGGCGTGGGCTCTGCTGCGAGATGGCGAGGCGTCGTGGAGTGGACGTCGCCCGTACTGCTTCAGTGCCTGCGTCTTGGTGGGGATCGACCGATACTGAGGGAGCAGCTTGGCGATACGTTGTAACTGTGCCTTTGCGCTGACTAGCTACGCATTTACAGAGGTATAACTAATTCGGTATTTGTAACTCATAATAAAGCTTATGCATCGGATTTGTAAGGGAAAACGAATTTTAGAAGGAATGTGACCTATCCCGGTTAATTGCAAGCAGAAGGGGCTGATATTTTGGCCCCGTCTCTGAGGAGCGTAATGGCGACTTGGCAAAGGAATGTCTTTCTGCACCGCAAATTGCCGGCGCAACGCCTTTGCAAGAGCTGTAGTTTGTGCATTGCATTGAGCAGCAATATTAAAATCTTGTCTTCGGTATAGTAATTGAAGACCGTTCGCGAAAATATTTAACAATGAAAAAAAGTGTTGTGATACTTGCACAAACTTACATGCATTTTTGTTGTTGGACATGACTCGATTGTATCATCGATGAGGCGTCAGTTGCAGACCAAAAATAAAACTTTATGGCTTGAAGTACATGTGCAGTTTACGGATAGTCTAAATTAATTTATTGTTTGCTTGTACAGGTGGGTGTGTTTACCAAAGGCGGCCCTGCGTGCACCTTGTCGTTTTCGAGAACATGTATCGGGTGTGATTTTTGGCCAGATCCTCCAAGGTTACGGTCAAACAGCGAAATGGGGCCAGTACAGTCCCGTTCGACACAAGGTTCAACGCGACTTCCCAGCACACTTCCAATCACACGGAATTCATCTCTTGGGACTTTGAGCGAGAGTATTAATACCTTGCGGAAAATAAAAAACTCGGCTCCGTCTTCCTCGACCATTTTCAGCACACCAAACGCCTTTAGAGCTTCGATCTTGTAGTATAGTTGATCGTCGTGCCAGTAGTATCCCCCGAGCATGATCATTTTACAGCGCACACCCAACGTCGTGTCAACACAACAAGGCGCTGTCAATACTGCACATGTTCGGTGACGCCTCAGTACATACACACACGCTAAAACAATGCGAACTGACGTGATAAACGCAGCGAGCCCGAGCACAAGGACCCCATGGCCCACCAAGCTCCAAACGTAATACGAAACTGCGAGCGCCGCTGGGTGTGTCTCTTTCAAGCTCGATCTATTGACCCATGTGAAGTAATTCATTACTCCAGCGCACAGGAGCTCTCCGAATAAAGACGTTTCATAGCTGAATATTAGTCTTTTCACTAGAAGTCTCGCTTTCTCGCACAGCCAGTTTTTACTCTCAAGCATTTCGAACAGCAACAAGAGTACCCCTGACAAATTGTAGCCCAGCGAGATGTACTGGAGTTTGGCATTAGGTCCGTCTTGAGCAATCAGCAGAAACAAATCGCTCATGACGCCTTCGAGCAGCATGTAAAGTATCGCCACACGAAAAAAGTTTGACGAGCTGTGCGCGGACAACCGCATACTTTCTTGCATGAAAACGGCTGCAGCCTTCCTCGATAGTGTCTCCTGCAAGCGGAAGCATCTCATTCCAAATCGGTTGCATAAAATGTAGCTTCTCCGTAGGAGTACAATGCGATACATTATCCACATCAACCCAAAAATGCCATACCAGTAGGATTGACGGTACGAATAGGCTCCTCTGTCGCTCGCCAACGCTGAAAAGTTACTGTCGAATGTTCCAAGTCCTCGAACACGAACATAGGCAGTCTTGTCCATCTTGCAGTATTAATAAGTTCCTGCTGCTTCTTCGTAGAACGCAAAGTATCCAATACTTCCATGGTAAAAGTAATGCTCAAAGGTGTAGCTTTCATTCGCACAGCTCGTAGGTGTTGCCGGCGATCTCTTGACGCGTTGCGTCCCCAGGATAAAAGATCCATGAACGTTGTACTGCGGTATCACGAAGTGGCAGACTTGCCCCTGCCCCACCGCATAGTAATGTGTGACCACAACATTCCACCACGCACTCGCGATAAAGAGCCATTCAAGAGGACAGTACTCGGAGATACTCGCTGTCTGTCTCGACGCATCCGCTGAAACCACAAGATCTTCTGTCAGTTTGTGCGCCGTCACGAGTTTTAAGTAGTTCCTCCCTTGCAGAACCAGCGGAAGTATTCCAAAGCTAAACCATATAATCATCAGCATTCGCTTAGCACTCGTTCGACTTGAAAGGGCTGCTGACAGCTGCGTGATGCTGGGTACCTTGGCAAGTTTTTTTCGCGGTAATACAGGACTCGCTCGTTTAGTCTCGCTTGACTTGGTTGTCGCCATCTTTGGTGCCTGCCAGCTTATGCCAGTCAGCTAAAAATGACAAATTGAAACGAACGTTATGTTGTTTACAGCTCGAACTTGGCAAGTGCACACGCTGGTCCACATTCGTTAGATAGGCACTTCCACGAAAATTTAAATTTTGTACTTCGAGGTGCTGAAGTTGCATTAAATATTATTTACATCAGAACCGGTATGTACAATACGTCGATCGGTGACGTGTGCCGTTTGGATACTTAAGTAGCTTTAAGGTGCATCCAAGACGTCTTTGCTGGAGTCGAAGCTTTCACATTCGGAAGATTCACAGGTGGAAGACTTGGTGCCTCTGCTTTCAGCTTGCTCCAGTCTTACAAGATGTCGGAGAGTGAGTGCGAATTCCATCGGAGCAACAGCCGACTGAACCAGTACTGCTTCAACGTCAGGCTTAAATACGAATGTGCTCGTTGTCTCTCCGAGGAAATTCTCCACGTCGCCTGCGCTCAGTACGGTCAACAGCTTCGCTGGGTCGCTCATATCGAGCAGAGAGCCGAAGTTGTAAGCCAAGCCCCCGCACAACATCAGGGCCACGGAAAGAAGAGAAATGTACCACTGACGCGTGTGCTGCTTCATCGTGCACTGTTCTTCTTGAAGCGCTTCCCGTAGCAGGCTAAACTGCCTGTGCAGCAGCGTAGTAGTCCTCTCCGCTTTCCTCACAGCACACGCAGCCTCCAGCAACGAGCGCTTGATTTCGCGATCCCAGACTGACGTTTCTCTCTTCACTTTGGTCGCTTTGAGGTCCCATTTCATCTGCTCCACCTCGGTAATGAAATTATCACGTGTGCACTGTCGAAGTGCCAGTTGGAAAAACGACGCGGCTGGGTTGTCAGTGATAAGTTTGGCTCGAATAACTTCGTCGAAAGCTTCCGAGAGGATCGTGTGCATCTCCCCAACATTGAGGGCCCGGAACCCGAGACCAAAGATGACTTGAAGATCATAGACGCTGGTCATCAGACCCAGCAGTTGGCGTAATCTTGTCACTGTAACTTTAGCAGCACTTAAGATCAGCGTCGCGCGCTCCCAGAATGCGCGCTGCTTGATGTGTTCCCGTAGCAGCCACGAAACTTTACTATTCCTGTCAATCTCCACTGCAAAATCAAAAGCTGTTTTGGCGTCAGAAGACAACAGTAGAGGGTTGCAGCCACAGTCGACGAGAAGGTACCGTACAAGCGCGAAATTTGTCTGTGATGCCGCCAAGTGCAGTGGTGTCCATCCGTTACTGAGCCGTAGATCTTGGATCCACTTGGACGTCGTGTCTTCAACTAGCTGCTTCAATAAAGGCACGTCACCTGAGTCCATCAGTAGCGCCAATACGCCTCTCCCAAAGTCTTCACCGAGATTTCTCAGCTCTTGTCGCCAGTCTTTGTCATCACATTGTCCGAGTCCTCGTTCGACTGTCTTGTGCATCTCGACCATCTCCACCAGCGTGTCAGAAGCCAAGGACATCTGGAGAATGATCGTGACTGCTTCTGTATGTTTGAGTTGAATAGCTGCGTCAATAGCCGACGCTTTGCCAGCTCTGCTCCCTGTCAATTTCTCCCGTAAACACACCGCTATGGCCTCTGCGTTCATGGCTCCAATAGCTCCATCAAGACTTGTGTAGGCGTTTAATAATCTCTCGAATTCATCACAGTTCGGGCCAGCGCGAACGTAGTCCATGGCGATCTTAGCAGAGTCGCTCTCGGCCATGGGATCGGCTCCGTGCGCTAGAAGGACCTCAGTGACCTCCAGCATTTCCCTAATAACTGCACACTGAAGCGGCGTCCGACCAAAGAGCCCGACGTTGTTCGCACACGCGCCATGTTGCGCCAATGCGATGGCTGTGGCTTCTCTCTTCTCGTCGATCGCTGCATGGAGCGCCGTGAGGTCGTTCGAGTTGGTTAGCTCGAGGTCCGCTCCGCTCGCTATGAGCAGCTCCAGGATGTCCACCACATTGTACCGTGCGGCCTCGATCAACGGCGTGTTGTGGAACCCTCGGCGCTCGTTCACGTTGTCGCCCAACTCCAAGCGACGACGCACACCGTCGAGGTCCCCCCTTCGCACGAAATCAGTGATGGTGTCGCGAGAGAAAATCCCCATTTACAGAGTTACAAGGTCCGTCCAAGAGGCGGTGAAACGAAAAGTGTGAGGAAGTTTCCTGGCATCGAGACGAGCCGCCACCTCGCTTCGGGCCGAAGTTCGGTCGCCATGTCATGGACTGGTTGAGAAACTATCGATGATCGGTTCGATCGTCATGATGTGCGGCACGTCTATTTGCTTGCTGAAGCGGAAGTGTGTGGTGCTCAGCCCGCGGTAGTATGCTTGTAAATGGATACAGCAGACATGGCATGCTACATGTACGTGTTTGCGTGTGTGTTGGCAGAGTCGGTCACTCAGTTGAGGCGCGCGACGTACTGTACATGTATCGTTCCATGACCCTTGAAATCCATGGCATGATTCATGAGCACCCAACCGAAAATACACGGCATGACCAAAGGCCTTCGGTGTGCGTCATCGGCGAAAAGAATGAGGACCCACACGCTACGCTCCGTATGTCTTTCGCAGCACAGAACAATAATGACTCGCAGTATAATCGTTCGCGGCTTCTTCGAGCCACAAGGCTCGATCCTATTCTCGCGAAATTTACCTGGGGAATTTATTTTCTCCAGAGCTTACACGTTAACTGTCTGTAGCTGGTAAAGTAAGTAAGCTTAGCTTGATATTACGGGCTTCCTAAAAAGTGCTCTGCACAAACTGCTCAAACATTGTAAAACCTGCCTCATGCGATGTGCGTTGCAACCGCTCTGAAAAACGACCACCTCAATTCAGATTTGGTCGTCTGTCTGTCTGAGTGCCTCGCTCTGCCTCGCCACCTTCATGGCGTCAGCCTCAAAGCCTTTTGGTGACAAGAAGAAGTCAAAGAAGAATGGTGAAGCATCTCGGAGCAAAGACAAGGAGCGCAAAAGCAAGAGTAAGGATCGAAAGTCCTCTTCCAAAAGAGAAAAACCCGTCGCAGCCCCTGTGCCTGTCGTTACAGATGCACCTCCACCTACGATCGTTCATGACCCCGATGCCATCCAACTGTTCCGTCGATACGACCGGAATCGATCGGGGGTTCTTACGAGACTCGACTTTTTGCAGCTCTTGAAGGACTATGCCGACCCAACGAGTAGCAGATGGGGGGCATCTCTTCTTAGACCTCCTTTGTCGCTAACAGACACCAGCGGGATCCCGCTAGGATACCAACGTGCCGATAGAAACTCGGAATTTGAGGCTGGACAACTCTTCGAGAGATACGATAAGGATCACACAGGCGCACTCACCTTGGACACTTTCCACGTCTTCTTTGCCGATTTCAAGGCGCAGCTGCGAGCTTTCGTGGAGGAGACGAACTATCGAGCTCTTGCTCCATCGGTGGGGACCGTTTCACCCCCGCTGATCCCTGTTCAAGAAGACAAAGCTGTGTCAGTGCCTGCCAACGTTCAAGATGCTGCAACAGAAGCAGATATTCCTCCAAGCCCGAGGACGATAAGAGCGAAGTATCGAGCAGCGTTGTTGAGGCTAAGAAAAATATGTAAAGAAGAGTTAGTTGACCAGCGAGAGCGACTTGTCCAGCACATGGACGCTATACGAGAGGAGATGACCCATCGACAGCAACACAGAAGCAGTGTTCACTGGGCTACGAGGAGACCTAGAACGTCATCTTTTCATGAGGATGCAACGCCGGAAAAAGACGAAACCCAGCAGTACGAAGCGATGGAAGACGATTTAGATCGGTTGGACGAGGTTATAAGATATGTGAGACGTCATATGAGCAAAGGTTCGTCGTTGTGTCAGATGTGCGGGAACGAGTGACAACATGTAGTTCTAACCATGAGATTTGTGTGCAATAGGTAGCGACAATTCGCAGCGGGAGATGCAAACCTTCCTCGACCAAGCTGACAGGATTGAGGAAGAGGCTGAATATCTTGCCATGAAAGACTTTGGCGATATTCCTGCTTCTAAGCAGAAGGAGAATGAGCCATCTTCTCTAAATTCTACCCCTCCAGTTGTGGCTTCATCTCCTGTCCCATCAGCCTCGATATCAGTATCGCAACACCCGAAGCAAACGGAGCTGGAGACTCTTCTCCGAGTGAAAGATCAAATGATTTTTCAGCTATTGCAGGAGCGGACAGCGATGCGCAAGGAGCGTGTTGCAGTTGAGACTAGTCTGAGGAAACTCAGTGATGTCAGTACGCGTGAGATGAAGAAATGGGCACGGCTCACAGACGAAATGCAAGCCGAAATAGAGCAACTTCGGTCTCAGTTGCACTCCCAGCCCCATCATGATAGACGCATCTAACCTAAAATGCATGAAATGTGACTTGATCTGTCGTTTAGGCCTCTTGGGCACACTTCAGCACTTCAGACCAATCACTTTTTAACAGGTAAATACAGTCCAATAATGGCAAGAAAGCATTGAGATACACTTGATTGAGAACAGCACAGGTGTGCAGAGATTTACTCTAAGTAAGTGCTATTATTATTTACTCTCACATAGCAATCATCATCTCGGGTTGATATTTTTGCTATTTTCAATGTCGTGTACTATAGAAAAGTATTTATTTTTCGTGACATTTTTTTGGCTTTTTGTGTAGGTGGATTAAAGGAGCTAAATATTATAAATATTATTTAGCTCCTTTAATCCACTTTCATTTTATTATAAATATCATTTAGCCACTTACACAAAAAGCCAAAAAATGTCACGAAATATTTAAATGATTTTTCCATTGGTGGCATACATCTCGTGTGATGGTGGAAATGATTTGTATCCCTATCGGTCTTGATATCAGACCAGGGTAGCCATTTTTAAAGTGAGTTGATCAGATAGGTCTGCAAAAGGCTAGCCATCGACCGGAGCCTAGTGGTGACGTATGCGCCATGGATTAACGGAGCGGTCGAACGTCTAAACCGTGATGTACAACAAGTGCCACGCGTCCTAATGATTGGGTATACGCTGGACACTCATGTGTGGGTCTATCTACTACCGCTTGTACAAAACAATGTGGTGCTGGAAATCCCACGTGAACTCTAGCTACAAACGTAGTTAGGAAGCTCCCACAACAATACGTCTGCTAGGATAGCAAACGATCGTTCGGGTGGACCTGAAGACCCCAGTTCTGCCCTTGCACCGGGACAGACTGGACGTTGTAAACTACTTATATAGGCCAACCAGTTAAAATAAGAGCACGCTACTAGCACGAGCAGCTAATAGGTGCTACGAATCCTTGTGGTCCCAACAGCGGAAGGGTACCAGGCACCAGTAAGTATTTTACGAGGGCAGATAGTGTTCAACACTCGGTTAGAATAATAAAAGAGATGCAAAACAACACCAAATAGGCAACAATAAGCCGACACGTAAACCTCCCCATAGTAATCGGCCATACACACAGCCTCTTGGCCTTGCCGGATGAATCCTCGCTGCAGAGCTTCGAGTTTACCGACAGGCATAGCACACTCCAACAAGCTTGACCAGACGCTAACCTTGAAGCCGGACGTCGCTCTGTGTGCTTGAGTGGAAATTCTGCTATGTATATATTATCTGCCCTATCGGGCCTATGCCTCATAAAATTCCTAATTATGTAAACAAATATCAGGTGAACTATGATCCGTTATGGATCTTCTTGCACGCCAAGCGTCGTCTGCAACATCGCATGCGCATCTTTAACAGCTCGCGCCCTTTTCCAAACGTGACCGTGCCTTCAAAGAGTCGCGAAGTCTTCCGCGAACTCATCCCGACCGCCACCGAGGGTTCGTACCTTAGATGGTCAGTTCTTGGCCGCTGAATGCGAATCCAACCAGTCCATTATTAATACAGTACTGCACTCCGCTTTCGCGCCCTTGAACCCTTGATAAACTTCCGGATGTGATGATCCTGAATCCAAATGAACCATAATTTGTATGCTAAAATCTGATTTAATTGCAAAACCTATATGGTCCACCCCGCGAAACGAGGAGCAGTACTGTAATAAAGACAGCCTGGATTGAGTGACATCTGGACCGTATCCAATATCCGCTGAGTGCTCGGTAGTGACACTGTCGAGTCTCTTGCTCCTTGGAGTCCCCGTACATCATGTAATCGAGTGTTCGTGGTTTGATCATCTTCGACGGTGCCACTTCTTTGTCGACGGGCGATTATCCGCAGCTCTGGAGACATCACTACACCGCAGTATCGTCTCGGGAAGGTCATCTCGTTTGACGAAGGCACGATGTCAAACCGCAGCAAGTACAACCCGATGCACAGCTTCATGCCAGACAAGCCCAGCAAGTACGGCTCCAAGTTCTGCATGGCATGTTGTGCAGATACAGCATACTGCTTCAGGTATGACTTGTTATTACGTATGTCACTGAATTTTCTATTCTGTAGCACACATGACTAACTGATATGCACGTATGATATCTGTACTTGAACCACTTAGGGTGGAAATCTATTTTGGAGCGGAGAAGAAGAAGAAGCAAAGACGGAAATCACCTGATGAGACGGCGTTGGTCCAAAGGCTGTTGTGAGGAACATTCACAGGCTTTAATCGACCGGCCAATGAAACGACTGATTGTGACTGATAGCTTTTAGTCAACTGTGTCGCTGAACTTGAAGCCCCTTGATCTGGGCTGTATCATGTATGAACAGCGCGGATTGACCGTTTCCTCTGCACTTCACGCAACAGAAGCGCAGAAAGGGGCTTACCGTATCGCTCAAGCGCTTGACTACCCACAGCTAGTGGCATTGATCTAAAGGGAATCAAAGCCTGTGCATATGGTCGCTACGGGTTGCAGTACGCGTTTCACCAGTGTTCTGCTCTTGGAGAAAGATGGCACGCGAGGAACGGTGCCCAGTCCACAGCTGGTCGTGGACCATGGACTTGGTATGAGGGGCGTAGACGATCCACGACCAGCTCTGACTTTAGCGTTACAGCTTACAGAAGTGCATATCACTGCGAAAGTACTACAAGCAGCTGCTCCTGTGCATAGTATGCACGGTCGGCGTATTTGGATACATCGATCACTGCCTAACGCTCAAGAAAAAGGAGAAAAAGCACCTACCCCTGCTGAGTACTTGTCGT